TCACATACGATCATCATATATGGAGTTCATAAAAAAGTGATACTGCAGATAAGTGATTCTATGGATAAGCGTTTCAATTAATAAATGAACAAAAAGTCTATATTGTAATTTAGCAAAACTAATCCTTCGAAAATCCCTATTTAATAGGCATAATTGTAACAACGTAATATTCGTAAATATGCATAGCATCTGTTACAAATAATAATACGAATAATAAATAGATGAATGCGTTACAATGTGCAACAAAATGAGCGATTGTAATATGACACACTCCTTACTGTCCTCATGTCATTTGTTAATTTTCCCTCTTGGAAAGGAAACCGACGATGTATCATTTTCTGACAAATGAAAGGTATTTTATTCAATTCTTCTTTCTAATGTTTTGTACTGTTGCGAGTCATGGCTGAATGTCGCTAAATCATACAAGTGAGGACTGAAACAGGCAATCGGCGTTAGATGAACTGCATGTAATGAGATGAGCTAGACTAAATTATTACTACATTAAGCAAGTATTCTCATAGTTTCATATTCACTTTCAAACACTTCCTGAAAATGTTACTTCTTCCACATTTTTATATACAAAGTATTTTCCATGTAGGTCACTGCTATTATAGCAAATCTTGATTTGGTGATGTTATTATTATCCGCGTTCTATGAGCAAGCTGCTTGATTCACTAATAAAATTCATGGGTAATGTGCATATCTCAAGCCACCAGCCTGACATATGGAACGGGATCTCGTCAGATCAGTTCACTGAGTCCATATTCATGTGCTGTGGTCACATTCCTGCAAGAATAATGGGCTTCACTCTTCTACCCTCTACGCTCAAGAGATGGGCACTCAGGCTATTCATATATGCATAATTTAAAAGAAATGTACCGGCTATGACACAGAAAAAAATGTACAAACATCGGAAGACTTTATACTGATTCCACTGATAGGCCAAAAGAAACAAGCATATATTTATTGATCCCTTAAATCCTGATGACCATCCACCTGGGCTTGTTAACATTTCGACTGACTGCATTCAGAGAATGTTGCCAAATACTTGCAAAAGGCAGTCTGATGGATGAGCTCCCACACAAGTTGGCAGGAGAACCACCAACAGCGTTTCATGAGAAGTCTGATGATATGCGTTTACCTTCAGCAAAGTCAGCTATGAAGAAAAAGTTCCAAGTTGAATTGAGTATTTGCAGATAATTTATTTTTAAGCTTTTTACCACCACACCCCCTCTAGGAATTTGCCTTTCTCTCTATTCCCTTCTTGCATTTATGAATAAGATTTTAAAATTTTTTTTTAACATGGTATTGAATATGAATTAATCACATTATTAAGCCTCTCATTATTTGATTATGCTTCCTTTAAAACAAAAATATAAGAAAATAACAACTATATTTAGAGGAATGTGCTCTTCTATATCTCTATTACCTTATCAGATCGTGGTCTTGTGCAAGATTTCATTAGGAATGTATTGTCAAGACTGCTGACACTGACCTAGTAATTGATAGCTATTATAGGAAGGGCATTAAGGAAATCGAACAGGGAAGAATACCTGCCGTCGCCAACAGCTGTCTTGATACTATGGACAAACATGCACTGCAATAATTCAGTAACTATGCACCCTGATACGTATTTTGCTCCAGTAGACATGTTGATGGTGATAAGGCGTGGGTAACCGTTGCTCAGCCCATTTATCATGCAATAACAGTAGAAATCAGAGAACAGTTCAGTAAAAGATAAAGGTTATCAAGAGGATTTTGAGTAGACTTTCGAGTGCTAGATACTAGAGACTATGTATAATTAAATAGACAAATCTAATTATTGCCCTATTTGCAATATTTTATGCTCTATGATGTTTCAATTTTCTCTTCACTTTATATTTGGCGTATAGAAAAATACTCAAATAGCATTTGAGAACATGTGTATATATAATAGATCTGCTATTATGGTACTAACCTGTGCAGAGACGAATTTGTATAAAGAAATAAAGAAGTTGCTTAGTTCTTTTCAAGAAGTAAAAGTGAACATAAAAATGTACCAAATAAAGAGGAAAATGGCATCATTTGTTGGGCATCTCAAAACCGTCAATGCAGATTCATACCTGATGTCCTTACGTACTGCGGATTTAAGAGAAATCTTGTGAAATAGCATCGGAAACGTATGAAATATGGAAACATTAGGTATGACATCAAACCAGGATCCTGAGATACCGAGTTGTAGCCATTAATGTTACGGCGGCGGCCATTTTGAATTTCGGTCATAAAAAAATCCTCAAGGATACGAACTTTGCAATCGACTAATTCTTCATCAGTAGGATCAGATCTACCGGAAACAACATTAATAAACAAGCAAACAATGTATATGTCTAAAATCCGCGTTCCACCCAAAACGTTTTTCCGCTGAATAAGAGGGGGTATCTCGCCTTATAAGATTTGATTAAAAAAAAAAAAAAAAAAAAAAAAAAAAAAAAAAAAAACAAGCAAATGCAGTTCCTGCGAATTCCTTTACGTGATAGATCCGATCTCCACGAGGAGCCCTCACTAATAGGGCACTTGTCTCTAAAATACCTATATCACGGGACAGAGGTCTTGCCGAAATATATGTCGATTGCTTTACTTACCTTCCGTCCACCTGTACCCTAAAGAAGACAGTGAAATTGAACTGTGTTGTGCTCTCTATACCATGCAGTTACTCTCTCGAGTCCTTTCTCTGCTCTCTAGTTGTCTCTTATTTCCACTTCATATGAGGATGCTGTATGATTTTCGGTATCTAATGCAATTTTATACCCCCCTCTCTTTCTCTCTCTCTCTCTCTCTCTCTCTCTCTCTCTCTCTCTCTCTCTCTCTCTCTCTCTCTCTCTCTCTCTCTCTCTCTCTCTCTCTCTCTCTCTCTCCCTCTCATGATACCAAAGAAGTGTTAAAAGTTATAAGCAAAATTAATAACTAGCACAGTTATAATGGTTATAAAAGTGATTAACTGCGATTCAGTAAACAAAAAATATAAAATTGTTCGTTTTCCTATAGTATGAATAAGATTAAGTGATTGAAATGAAAAAAAAATAAACCTCAGAATAGAAGAAAAACTAATAGAATAAACTTGTCGCAGCAGATGCGGATGCCCTAGTATCGGGACACGTGGGGATCATATAGCATATGTGGATAACAAAAATTGTAGTTTTATTTGAAACACACACAAAAAGTGTAGATAAGTAATGTAGCGTAAAACATAACGAAAAGACAGCGTAGAAATTTGGCTGGCGGGGTAAAGTGGTGCGCTTGTGTTTAACTTGCCCTGTAGAGAGGAGGGCGAGCGGTGAAATGGAATGAAGGGAGCCGGATGAAAGCGTAGAGGTAAAAGGCGGGTGGGGGGAAAATACGAAAGAACAAGATGAGAGTGCAAAACGGAGAAGCAAGAGGGGAATATAATGATCAAGGAAGGTACTCTCTCTCTCTCTCTCTCTCTCTCTCTCAGATCGGAAGCATCAATAAATCTCAAGGAATATCTCTCTCTCTCTCTCTCTCTCTCTCTCTCTCTCTCTCTCTCTCTCTCTCTCTCTCTCTCTCTCTCTCTCTCTCTCTCTCTCTCTCCTCCATTAAGTTAGTGTAAATTTGTGTGTGTCTGCGCCTGTGCGTGGGTGTTATGAAATATTTTTACTTCAAGATCCTGTATGCGTTGAATTGACTGCCGGTGCTTTCCTTTATAAAGACAAGCTGCCACGTGTCTCTAAAAATACACGTTGAGGACGTATCATATGTAAGCTACAGAGGGCTTTGACATGTGGCTAAATATCATGTAGGGGCGTCGTACTAAAATAGGCAAAGAAGTACTAGTTCAAATGGTGAGTAATAATAGGTTTGACGGGAGAGGTGACCGTGAAAGGCCAAGCAGCGGACAGGACGATAAGAAGAGACGTTTGATGTTTGATTCTTTCCGTGTGATAAGGGCAAGGCAAAAGCGGAGTAAAAAGCATTTTTTTTTTTTTACATGATCTTGAAAAGTACCGACCATGTAAACATAGGTATTAAGTATGAGCTGATTTGAATAGAAAATACACAGCAAATTAGAGACCTGTAGTCTTGCCAGTTGTTCCTTTACTGAGAACAGACGCACTATATGTTGTCCCATACTATCCTTTCCTCTTCCCGAGTTCCCAAAGGCGCCTTTTGGTCCTGTCTTATACATGCGACAAAAATATTTAAATCCATTCTACTTTATGTACAAGGGATATTCATCAATGTTTTAGAAACAAAAGTCTAGCATGTAATCTACCAACAAATATGGAAATGAAAACATGTTGCAATTCCTGCTTAATTCTTTTTGACAAGGATAACGGTGAGCTTTCGTTAATCACCCAACACCTCAGATCTTAAAAAAGTGAATATATTTCTATATTAGTTTTTAAGGAACTGAAGAATTACACGAATGTTATGCACCTTTACAATGTTCTGATTCATAATCCTATCCGTATCTTTCTATCTCCTTCTTATCCGCCATCTTATCTATTACTCATACGTTCATTCATCTATGTAAAATATTTCCTCTCCAGAGGATAATCACTATATTCACACACACACACACACACACACACACACACACACACACACACACACACACACACACACATGCACACGCACACGCACCGCACACAAAACACACGCACACTCGCGCGCGCGCGCGCACACACACACACACATATACATAAACACACACACACACAAACACAGGCACACAAACACACACACATACATATATATGAATGTTTAAGGAACCAGACATATAATATAAACTGAAAGATATAAGACTGAATAAAAATGTTTACCAACTCGCTCGGATAAAAGGAAAGAGATTCACCCTTTAGAAAATTGGAAGGTTGTTAGAGGAATTTAGAAAAATCACGCCATCTGTATGCTCGTAATCAGTGGCTCTGTCACTGCTGCGTGTCGTATATAAAGGTGGAAGCAGACCAGCCACAGCACTGCATTCCTGCCGTCTCAAGCTA